AGGGGTGCTGGTGAAGTAATGGGACAAAGATAGAATTTAAAAGGATACAATGATGGAGTGGAGAAGTGTCTATGAGCTGTTTCATTAGCAGGTGTAGTGGCTAATCGAGCAACAAGTATGGACGCAAAGTAACGAGGGTAGCTGTTTGTAGAGTTGAGTGTGGCACTAGATATGGCCGGGAGGGACAGCAGTAGGATACACAGCAGGAGAATTGCCATCTCTAAAATATCTGGGGTAAACACAGATTAACACACAAGCGAAGAAAAAATATATATACTTGTAGGCCGAGCGCGAGAAAACGTCTTGCTGCACTCGTCACACATGCACGGCTTCTTGCCCATGTGCTAGGGTTGAACAGCCCCCCCACCCCAGACAGGGACAGGAGATTCTTGGCTGTTGTGTGCTCGGCTGAACCGCTTGCACCACCTCCTTTCCCCGCCGCAGGATGGTGCTCGAGCTAGCCCTCCTTGAGCTCAGCCCACAACTGGAATGTCGTTTCTTGGCCTCTCGTGTCTCTGCTGCCCGACCAGACGGCCCCACTGAAGCCCACACAGGGGACTCTTCATTCACGACCCTTGGCCGTCTTGACGATCTCCGTGAAGTTTGCCAGGAACATAGCTTGGGGTCCGTCGCAATGTTGCCTTGGCAGGAACACAGCTTGGGGTCCGTGGCAATGTTGCCTTCGCAGGAACACAGCTTGGGGTCCGTAGCAATGTTGCCTTGGCATCTACACAGCTTGGGGTCCGTGGCAATGCTGCCCTGGCAGGAACACAGCTTGGGGTCCGTGGCAATGTTGCCTTGGCAGGAACACAGCTTGAGGTCCGTAGCAATGTTGCCTTGGCAGGAACACAGCTTGGGGTACGTGGCAATGTTGCCTTGGCAGGAACACAGGTTGGGGTCCACGGCAATGTTGCCGTAGCAAGAACACAGCTTGGGGTCCGTGGTAATGCCGCCTTGGCAGGAACACAACTTGTGGTCCGTCGCACTATTAACTAGGCCTCAATCATGCTGCGCTAGGTGCACGATTTACTAGGCCTCACTCAGGCTGCGCCAGGTGCGCTGTCAACCAGGCCTCACTCAGGCTGCGGCTTGTGCATGGTTAACCAGGCCTCTCTCAGGCTGCGCCAGGTGCACGATCCACCAGGCCTCACCCAAGCAGTGTCATGTGCACAACCAGGCCTCACTCAGGCCGCGCCACGTGTATGACCAACTAAGCCTCACTCAAGCTGCGCCTTGTGCATGATTTACTAGGCCTCACTCAGGCTGCGCCAGGTGCACGATTAGCTAGGCCTCACTCAGGCTGCGCCATGTGCGCGATTAACTAGGCCTCAGGCTGCACCACGTGTATGATTAACTCGGCCTCACTCAGGCTGCGCCAGGTGCACGATCAGCTAGGCCTCACTCAGGCTGCGCCACGTGCACCATTAACTAGGCCTCACTCAGGCTGCGCCAGGTGCACGATCAGCCAGGCCTCACTCAGGCTGCGCCACGTGCGCGACCAACTAGGCCTCACTCAGGCTGCGCCAGGTCACACACGAGCACACATCAACAACAACAACCACCATTCGCCACTAAGTGGTGGTGACGTCACCACGACGCTTGTGCCAGGACATGTGCACCTTGAGGCCACGTGGAGTGTCGAATGCCCGCTGGCAGGAGGTCACGGGGCAGACCCAGGTGTCACGGGTCGACTGACTGAGATGACTGGGTGATGCACCACCTGTGCCCCCTACTGTGCCAACCTGCTGTGTTTAGTCACCCGGCGCTCCGCTCGTTGTTGTGAGCGTTGCTCCTCCGCCCTCCGTTGTTGTTGGAGGGCGACTACCTCCAACTGCCCAGTGGCATCCTTCACGAGCCTCCTCCACAGAGGCCGATCTTGACACCGCTGGACCCAGTCATCGGCAAGTCCACTCAGCTCCACGTCCTCCTGTACCACATCACTCCATCTCTTCTCTAGCCCATGCCGCGCCCACTTAGCCCCCTCGATCCGGCCGAACAAAAGCTGTTTTGGCATGCGGTGGCTGGGCATGCGGGCTACATGGCCCAGCCATCGCAGCCTTGCCCGCCGGAGGAGCTCACCGATGGGACCTTGCCCAGATCTTTCAAGGATTTGTGAGCTCCTCACACAATCCAGTCTGGTTAAACCCAGGATGGATCGTAGGCAGGCCAGCCTAAATGTTTCTAACCGGCGAAGATGTTCCATCACCACACCATCACACACACACGAGTGTACACCATCACACACACACACGAGTGCACACTGCCACACTATCACACACACGAACGCAGAAGTCCCTCTCGTCACGGCCACTCTCACACGGCTCACCCTCACACGGCTCACTCACACACACGGCTCACTCACACACACTCACACACAGCTCATTCTCACTCACGCACAGTTTACACTCACGCAAAACAACTCACAAAAACAACTCGCACGCTGCTACACACGCCGCCGCCGCCATATTGCCCTTCGAGGAGTGTCACCCCTCTCCACCTCAGACCAGCAGATACTCAAGAGCTATCTGTCCTATTTGTGGAAGTCATAACATAGCCCAGGCCAAGGTGGTTCAAGAATCCCGATGGGATTCAAAGAGAGTTGTGATCAAAATAAAATGTGTGTGGAGTGAAGATGTAGTGGTTTGCATGCTGCTCTATGAACCCGGCAACACAAGTTCGATTCCCAGCTGTGGCGAACATCAGTGTGAGAGATACTTTTTTCTGTCCTTGAACATGCACACTAACTTGCTCTGACCAACATGATGAAGTATGGTCAAACGATCCCCGTGACTGAAATGGCTTCAGGAGGCCCCCATCCAGCAGTGGATTGACAAAAGGCTGTATAATGCATCAAGCTAGCGGAGCCTAAGTAGACCAAGGCTCAACTATCCGCTCAAAACTACTCCACGCTGCATCGATCCAGCGTTCGCTAGTTAATCATAAACTATACCTCATAGCGAATGCAGGTGAGACTAAGCTATTAATGTGAAATCTGGACCAGGGAAAGCTAGGCTGAAAGCGTATAATTAGCTAGTCCAGCTTGCGATAGCCTAAAAGTCAAAAGTAAAAGTGATTTCCTATTGAAAAGAGCAATGAGGCCGTGCGCTCATTTTCTGCGCATTGCAACCGAGTCAGTTTTAGAAATTTCACATTTCTGGGACAGGGTTGAGTCTATCCATTGAACGACCACTGTTTACTTCCACAACGAAGCAGAACTATTTTTTTTATCAACCCAGGGGGGGATGATGGGCTAGGTCAACCCGTCAACCACAATTTTAATTTGCAACCTTCTGATTGTGACTCGCTCAGCTGAGCCAGCTGATATTCTGGGGTAGGTTTGCAAAGAGGGCTGCGGAAACCAAGCTAAAATCAGTGCAGACTTCAGCATTGAAGGCTGAGCTAATACAGCCTAGGCTGGTTCAGACTAAACTAATCCAGTATTTTTTCCTAATCAAGGCTTAGAGAGTTCAGGCCGCGGTTATCCCAGACAAAAATATAGTCGAAGCTAGATCAGTGCAAAAATTAGAGAATATAGAGACTGAGTTCGTCTCGGTTAGGGCTCGGCAATCAAATGAACAAGCGATTTTTTTTAATAATTCGGTAAAAAAAAATCAACATTTCAAGAGCCGCAATGCATACGAATGTGAGACGTGGACCTTCATAAATAAAGTCACGGAGCAGCCCTTAAAAGAGTCGCGTGCGGCACTGGAGCCGCAGGTTGCCAACCCTTGGTCTAGGTTACGAGTGCATAGATGTCAACCCCTTATCAGTGCCTATCTTATTACAGACCAAGCCAGACCTTATTGGTCACCCCGTGCCCCTTATAAATCTCAACGTTCATCCGACAAAGTCCCATCACAAGGGAGAAAAACGAACAAATAGACAAAAAAAATAATGTGCCTGTATTGAAACGGCTGCACGCCGTATTGACCTGAAAACTAAATTTCCCTGACAAAGAATACGGGTAAACTGTATAGGTTAACAGGTATAAGAGAGTGAAGGCCATTGAGTTAAACCAGTCTAAAAAGAGGTCCACGCTGAATGCTGCCCAGCCTAATATGCTAATCTCCCAGTTACATGCTAATTTCTGACTTGAACACCCTGCTGATCCAACACTTTATCACAGCAATTTCAATGCTAAATTCTCCTGTTTGATATGTAAACTACTTTGTCAAGGCGCTTTACTTCTCCCACCTAGCTTAAAAGACGCTGCGAATCTTAGCAGCGTTCATTGAAGCGCTGTCGTTCCGACAGTTCTGTTCCTTCACCTGAAGAAGGCTACTTGTGTTGTGACCGAAACGTCGTGAGATTATTGTCTCATTTTGTTTTATTATTTTATTCTCATTCTACGTGACTTTACCGAAAGAACCAAGAAGATCAGCCTAATACGGTCTAGCCTTTTCAACATATTGCAGCCTCGTTTAATATACAAGGCTTTCTGTGTTGGGACGCATGTTGAGTATATTTACTCTCTTAGAACGTTTTCGCCCAGCACTGTTATGGACGTCTCCAGGAACATCTACAACACCCGAAAATTCCTGCAGCGGTGCGTGGTAAAATGTTGAGGCAGTAAATGCTCAACATATGCATCCCAACCCAGAAAACACCACCTTCATAGTCGAGGCTTAGTCAGTCCAAGTTTTAAGAATCCAGGCAAAGTTAGCTCAGTCAGAGATAGTTTAGGCTTATAGAACTCGACTAACACGGAATTGGCGAGGCTGAAATATATAGAACAGTCTCTCATCTCGTCCAGCTTTAGCGAGTATGGAAGGGGTAGGGAGCCTATGGTCAATGGACTGGGCACAGCCCTGGATTTAATTTCATAAATGTAGTATTGTTTTTAACTGGCATAGGCCAAGTCAGAACAGCTTTAGGTTTCGATAATTTAAACCGAGTTAGTCCAGGTTTAGTGAGTGTAGGCAAGTTAGTCAAGGCTTAGAGAGTTCGGACTGACTGAGGGAGTCCACTTCTCAGGCGGCCGGGCTCGGGAGGTTCCTCACCTCGCTTGGGTTTGGCGAAGCTCTCGTGCAGGTGGAACACAACCTTCTCCACAAAGTGGTTGATGGCGGCGCCGTCGGGCCCGCGGACGGACACGCACCAGTCGTGCGTGAAGCCTTCGGGCGTGGGCCGGCGTCGTGCTGTCGCGCGGTGGCCCAGCTCCAGCTTCACCTGCACGGGGCCCACCTGCACCACCACACAGGGGGCATCATTCACTCGCAGTACAGACGAAACGGATCTGTTTGCGCGTGTACGCATGTGTATTTAGTTGTGCGTGTGTATATATAGGGAGCGGTAGTGGAGTGGTTAGCACACTGCGCTACGAACCTGGCGACTCGAGTTCCGAATCCCGCTCATGGCCAAAACGAATGAGGATTGTGTGAACCGGTCCTGAGCGTCCCCTAGGTGGACTCAGAAATTAGTACCTGGTGCGATCTGTAAACATCGCTACTAGGGAGACAAAGGCGCCCCGGGTGTGGTGCTGGTTACCCACTCCCTCGTGTGCCAATGCTAGCCTTCATTGGTACTTGCTAACAGCACTTGCTCAAACAGTATGTTAAGGCTATACAGGACATATTTGTCTTTCTACTTTTAAAAGTGTGCCTAGTCGGGTGACATCACCACCACTCCCCTTTTTCCACTGGCACATCCGAACAGTGCTAGAGAGCAGGGTTCTCACAGTATGGGTGGTTTTCCACTGGCAATTTGCTTTGCCGAGCTGGAAACCAAACTGTGACACACTGGCTTCACAACATATCTGAAAAGGTCAGGGGAAGCGCTCGTGATGCATTCATTGTATGCGATGCCAGTAAGGACATTGTGAGGACGCAGCGTCACCACAACTTCGGACATGTGTCTCAACTCATTAATTTCAAGTGACGTAAGTGGCATGGCTCTGCTTATGCAAAAGAAAAAAAACTAACTGGTGCCTCCTGAGCCGCACTGGGCTGGATTCGGACATGGCTTGGTTGCTTTTTTGAGTGTGAGTGGAGAATGGTGGCGCAGTGGTTTGAGGACAGCGCTTCGAACTCTGCACCCTGGGTTTAATTCCCTGGCCACAGCTGACATCAGTGGTGAGTAACATCTGAACTGGTCCTCAGCCTATCCTGGGTCGACTCAGCCTCAAATGAGTATCTGGCATGGTACATAAACATCAGCACTGAAAAGGCAAAGGTAGCTATGTGAGGCGCTGACCACACAACCCCCTTGTGTCGGCCTTAATAGGTGATCGCAAACAGCAGCACTTGTCCCGTCAGTTTATGTAGACTATATAGGGGAACTTTCTCCTTGTAGGCGAGTGTACATGTGGTTAGAAATTATGTGTATACAGTATAAGCAAGTGTGTAGAAGTAGAGCTTTAACAAGTATTCAATAGCAGTACTTTCCTGCAGTCTGTACAATAGAATTGTAAAAAGCATATTAAGTATTATAACTTTGTGTGCATATGGGTTTGCGAGTATCTAAATGTTATACATTTATACATGTGTAGTGGGTTCAGCTGAGGCGCACACTCGAACTTGAAGGCAACAGGTTTATTCACAACCCAACGGGGTAACTACTATATAACCACTCACAGGATAACAACATAGGGTGGTGACCACCACTGCTAACTACTAAACCAGTCGACGGGATACTCTATATGGTGGTAACCACCACGGGGTAACTATACAATTGGACCCGGCTAATTAACATCTTGTCTGGTCCACGATGCTGTGCGCGAAGACCCAAGACCGAAGAATTCCATTCCCAGAGACAGCCACGATCGGGCTCGGCTTTTCTGGGCCGCGGCGTGGCCGGGCTCCGCCCCTGGCCACGCCCCCTTCCAGATCCTTCTTGAAGACTCTGGACCCTACATCACGTGTCCCTTTCACCCCCTTCTGGGCCCCCCCATTCCACCTCGTCCGGTCACGTGCCCTCTCGGGTTCACTCAGAGCACCATGTCCTTGCCCAACCTCTCTCTCACCATCACCAGGGCTATGCCCCATAGAGAGCCCTTCCATGGCATACTCACTCTGGTGCTAGAGAGAGGCTCCGCACATACAGTACCACTCTTCACTTGGTACTGTTGCTACACTATAGTGACACCATTTATGGCACTACACATGTATAACAATGTGTGTGTAAATACATGCATATATGTGTATAAGGCTAAACTGGGGGGGTCGTTGCATTTATACATACGAGTGAGCGTTTAGTTATGCTTAGGTACATTAGTGGTACCTGATGTACTGTATAAACCAGTCTTGGGGTCCCCCCTAAGTCGTGAAATATGTAGGTGTAAACATCAGCACTGGTGAGACAAATAAAGCCGGAGTGGTTCTAAAAACACCACCACTTATGTCGTGACCACCTTCATAGGCACTCAGTAACAACACTTGTCATAAAGCTAAACGGGGAATCTTTTGTCGTTGTTATACGAGTATGTGTGTATAAGTGTGCCTACGTGTTCAAAGAACAACAACCAAAATAAAGTAAAACAGTTGCCTGGCTTGCCAACCACCATTCAATTTAAAAGTGGACAACTAATTGGTAAAATAAAATACCATAGGTGTAGATATCACTAATGTGATGGGACACATCACCGATATTGTCACCATCATCATCACCAAACGGCCACCAGGTATTGTGTTGTTGCAGTTTTCCCCCAAATAATATCATACCCCCCCCCCCGACTCGTTGTCCAGGTGTTCAATGTGGAAATTCTGCCAAGCCACTGGTACACAATGGGCGATAATTTGCAGTTAGCCACATGTTCCAAAAACATTAAAGCACACTCCTCTTTGACAAAAAGTCGACCCTTCGCAATATCTCCACTTTGACCATGTACACCAGGGGTCTCAAACTCGCGGCCCGCGGGCCAATTGTGGCCCGCGGAACGATATTTTGTGGCCCCCTACTTGACACCATTTATTTATTTTAATTATTCTTTTTTTACCATAGCTCAGGCTCGTGACAGCTTCCGGTGTTTGTTGACGGTAAATGTTTTGGCGGCATGAAGCTTGTGTAAAAAAACATAAATTAGCCGCATCATTGTTTAAGCTGTAGTGTTCAAAGCGTGTCAAAAAAGTAGTGGCTTATAGTCCGGAAATTACGTTAGTTTTTATTTATTAATTTTTTCCTATGATTATTAAATGTGTTTTTTTTTTGTCACCCAGCCCCAGTCGTGTCTTTCTCAAAACCTGCCTTGAAGAGAAAGGTTGGCGACGAGCACAGACAATTTCAGGAAAAGTGGGAGACGGAATATTTTTTTGTTAAGCACAGGGGCACTCCGACGTGTCTTATATGCGCAGAGAAAGTTGCGGTGCACAAGGAATACAACATCAGACGTCATTACTTAACTAGACATACTGAGGAGTATGCAAAATACCAGGGAGATGAGAGAGAGGACCGGGTCGCCAATCTTAAAACATGTCTACTGAGGCAACAATATTTTTTCAAGAAAGCAAGCAAAGAGAGTGATGCAGCAGTCGAAGCTAGCTACGTGGTGAGTGAGATGATTGCTAAGGCGGCAAAGCCTTTCAAAAACTGCGAGTTCATCAAAAAGTGCATGTTACAGGCTGCAAGTAAAATTTGTCCGGAAAAGGGTTAGTTTAGCAACATTAGCCTTTCAGACAACACTGTGGCAGAGCGCATTTCTGACCTGTCAGGTAACATAAACGATCAACTGCATGAGAAAGCCAAACATTTCCGTGCATACTCAGTCGCTCTTGATGAGAGCACAGACATCACTGACACTGCGCAGCTCGCAATGTATGTCCGTGGTGTTGATGACAATTTTGAAGTGACGGAGGAGTTGCTCACAATGAATCCAATGCATGGCCAGACCACCGCTCAGGAGATATTCCGCCAGCTGTGTGATGCCATTGTGGATGCCGGTTTACCATGGAAGAGGTTTGCTGGAATAACAACCGACGGAGCGCCATCAATGACAGGGAGGAGAAATGGACTGGTGGCACTTGTTCAAAGAAAACTGGAAGAGGAGGGTGTGGAGGAGGCCATTGCTCTGCACTGCATTATCCATCAGCAGGCCCTTTGCAGCAAATGCCTGAAGTTTGACAATGTGATGTCTGTCGTTGTGAAATGCATCAACCATATAAGATCCAGGGGCTTAAAGCACCAGCAGTTCCGCACCTTTTTAGAGGAAATAGAGTCAGCATATGAGGATGTGCTCTACTTCACCGAGGTACGTTGGCTCAGCAGGAGAAACGTCTTGAAGAGGTTTTTGAGTTAAGAGCAGAAGTGAAAGCCTTCATGGAGAAGTATGGGATGGCTGTTCCTGTGCTAAGTGATCCCAAATGGCTCATGGACTTAGCTTTTCTTGTTGACATCACACAGGAGCTGAATGTACTGAACAAGAAGTTACAAGGCCAGGGGCTGCTTGTCAGTGCTGCCTATGACAAAGTCAGAGCATTCTCTACAAAACTTGTGTTATGGAAACCCAGCTCTCCCAAACCTCTGCCATTTCACAGCATGCAAGGCACTCATGGACACGGGCACACCATTCAGTGGTGAGAAGTATGCCTATACCATTGTAAAGCTACAGGAGGAATTTGATCACAGGTTTGCAGACTTTAAGACACACAGAGCCACTTTTCAAATTTTTGCTGACCCCTTCTCCTTCGATGTGCAAGATGCCCCTCCTGTGCTTCAAATAGAGCTAATTGACCTGCAGTGCAATTCTGAACTCAAAGCCAAGTTCAGGGAGGCGAGTGCAAAAGCAGACAAGCTTGGACAATTTTTGAGAGAATTGCCCCCCACCTTCCCTGAGCTTTCCAGGATGTTCAAGCGGACCATGTGCCTTTTTGGGAGCACATATCTGTGTGAAAAGCTCTTCTGCACCATGAACTTTAATAAGTCAAAGTACAGGTCCAAACTTACTGATGAGCATCTTCAAGCCATACTGAGGGTCTCAATTGCTTCCTCCCTCAAGCCAAATGTGGCTCAGCTGTGTAAGAAGAGGAAGCGCTGCCAGATCTCTGGCAGCAAGGAGTAGGTAAGAGAAGCCTATGTTCTGAAGAACCGTTCATGTTCTGAACTGTTATTAATAAACATTGAGAAGATTGGATCAGTTGTACTTTTTTTGAATACTTGATGCGGCTCAGCCTCACCCAGACTCTACTTCCAGCGGCCCCCAGGTAAGTTGAGTTTGAGACCCCTGATGTACACCTTATTACAAACTCTATCATATGACACTGTACTGGGCCCAAGCTCTCGTTTTCTTCCGACGATGCAGGATCCTCTTACCGCTCATTAAGCAATATCCTTACCCCATCTGCTGCTCAGATCCTTCCTCATCTATGCCTTCGTCACGACCTGACTCGACTTTTTTGTTTATCTCTTCTCTCGCGCCTCCTCTAATCTCCAAAGTCTAGGTGATCCATAACGGCCGAAAACATGACCACATCATCTCAATGGTCAAATGCGTCTGCTTGCTCCTGTTCCATGCCTGGATCAAATGCAAAATCGCACTCGCCATCGTCAAGACCCTCCAAGGACTCGCCCATGTATACATACATTTCCCTTCTCATCTTACTCTACAACCAGTCAAATCAGTGCCACGTGTGCTGGCCAATAAATGAAAACATTCTAATTTTATTTTACAAGGTAAAGCACAGTTATATATTAGCTATTTTTCATAAGTGATCTGGCCACAAATACACACGAAAGTGGCTTATCATGCGCATATGTATGGCAGCCAAATACACTACACACGCATGTTTCTAAATGTTTAGAAAAGAACCGAAGGACCCGGAGAAAAATCAACACGACCACGGGGAGAGGGACACGCAAAATCCAAATATAAAGGCGTCATGGTAGGGTTCGAACCCACGACCTCCTTCATACCAGGCGAGGGAGACAACATCTCGCCGCCAGTTTATGTCTGGCTAATAAAATATAACTGGACGACATAATTGTTGCTTGTTCTAACTTTTTGGCGATTTAAAAATGTTGGTACGACTCAAGTTTTTTTAAAAAAATGCCTGGTGGTAACAGCAAATGAAAATGTCTGGGCCAATGGCCTATCCCCAACTCCCTCATGCACTCCTAAAGCTATTGAAGACCCCACAGTCAACCTTCACTCAATGGGAGGTCACTCAATCCCCTCTGCTTCCACCCCCCTACAGCCATCTGTGCTGTCACCTCCACGTCCTCGTCGTCCCAAGTCCAGCGTCAATCCATCCGTTCGCCATGCCCTCTACGACTGCCCCGCATCTACACAAAATAAGTCACGCGTTTAAACTGTAACAAAAAAAATCGGCTTGAGACGCGGTTGCGTTACGATGCTCCACGCATGCAAAGTGAATCGAACAATGGTCACAACCTGGAAACCAAACCGCAAGTGTCCCCGGTTTGTTGATGATCAGTACCACTACTGTAACGCTTCCACCACGGTCGGATTCGAACCCCAGATGCAAAGTGACAAGCCTCGAGATGGCCGACCACCACGAAAACGAGGTGCCATGACGCAGAGGGGCTACATCGTGGGCAGCGGCGGCTTGACGCGAGTTGGCCAGAGGCAAGAGAGGAGCCGTAGGACCGTTTAGGAGCATAGTGCAGTACAACAAACGCCGTGTGTTTTTTTTCAGCAAGCTACCTTATTACGCCTCGCGGCGCACCCACACGCTTGTCACCCACCCAGCGAGCACTCATCTATCCAGGCTCGGCTTGCGAGATGGGAGGGGGGGGGGAGCTGATTTTGATCGAGAGGCGTTAATCGGAGGGGCAGCAAAGATGCCGCGAAAGAAACGCACGGCAATGAAGGCGAAACGACAACGACGTTGTTAGGGGATGGAGCGACACACAGGATGGCTCAACGGCGTCGTTCCATTCGCCTGCGCGGTGCACGCGTGTGTTAGTACTGTCGCTGTTGTCGTGTATGTCGCTGCTGTTGTTGTTGCTGCTGCTGTTGTTGTTGTGATCGCGCGCGCGCGCGGGACACGTACCGAGGAAGCCATGAGCGCTGAGGCGGCGGGGGGGGGAGCCGCGCTCAGCGCGCCGCCATCACGGACCCGGCCCGGTTACCGTGGGGACGTCGCGGCCCGCGCATGCGCCGTTGAGGGCGGGGGGGGGGCGGCGGAGTAGCCACGCCCCCCACACACACACGCAAAGCCACGCCCCCCACGCAAAAGCCACGCCCCCCCTCGTCTTATTTACGATCAGTTTAACACGTAGGAAGGTTTCGCGACCAATATTATCCATAAATAGACCAATAGTATCCATGATATATTTTTTCTTTGGGGGGAGGAGGGTGGGGTGTTAGATCGCGTAAAATGTAAACGTGTCGTTAAACCCGGCTGCCGCCTGATGATGCTCGTCGTAATGTCGTACTGGGATTGTAAATGTGGCTTGGCTCTCCAGCACACAAGCGGTGTTGCTGTACTGGTAACGAATTGGCACGTTTTGTTTACGTGACAAACCCCTTACTCATTGGCTGTGTCGGGTGGTGGCGGGTTAAACGACACATTATATTTACGCGATCTAACCCAAACCCCCCCCCCCCCTCCCATTATTATGGACTTCATGCTGATGTTGAGCCTGAGTCGAGCAACAACTGTAACATCAGCAGTTGTTAATATTGTTTTTTTTAATAATTAATGCAGGCGATACTGCCGTTCTATAGGCAGTGGTGCGAAAGTAGAAATCTTATATATATTTTAAAAACTCAGTCGCACTGTGTTTTTGGCCTTTAAAATAAACAAAACCCCATACTAAGGCGACGTTTTCGGGCATATTCAATTGTTCTGTTTTGCATTTCATCTTTCTCGTTCGTATTGATTTCGCACGTACATTCTCGCCCTAAGCCCCCCACCCCCCGAATGCTTCCAGCAGTTCTCTCGAACGTCCATTCGTCCCGTCCCATTGTCCTAAACATTCTGACAGCGGATGCAGTCATCCAGCAGTGGGTCAATCACGTGAATCGGTAACACACGTGCATCGAATTTCTTATACGTCAAGGGGCACATCAGTCGCGAGTAATCGATCGTCGTACGCACGATTTCCCTTTTTACCCCCTCCCCACCCCCATCGCAGGTCCGAATCGATGACTCGGTTATCCTCCACTCTGGTCTGGCGCCGACAATCTCCCCCCTCACCAAGAATGGTCGCGCCCGTGTTCCCTTCCGGCCTGGGCCGTACAACTTCAACCACCACCGTCCACCCCCCACCCCCCAAAAATCTCCCCCTCACCAAGAATGGTCGCGCCCGTATTTCCATTCCGGCCAGGCCGTCGTGATAACTTCGCCTGCCCCCCTCAAATCGAGGCCCCCCCCAACCCCGTCCTAGCTACTAGGGCCCCCCCCCCCGCCCCGTGCCCGAGCGATGATGGAGGACAAGAGCACGTCCCCGGCTCTGGGGGCTCCTCCCCGGGCGGACCAGGCGCCCGCGGGCGGCGTGGAGACCGAGCTTGCCTCGGCGGGGCGCATCGATCTCAAGGGCTGCTCGCGTTTCGTCAACTCGCTGAACGCGCAGAACAGCCTCAACCTCCAGGACCAGGTCAACTCGGACCTCGAGGTCGCCTCCGTCCTCCTCAAAGGTCCAGACACGGAGCTGGGCGGCCGGGAGTGAAGGGGTCGAGGGCGCTGGGGTAGTGGTGGTAGGGGTGGCGAGAACATGGTTGGTTGTTGTGGTCGTCTTGGGGGTGGGTGGGGGGTGGTGGTGATGGAAGGGAATGTCGGAGGTGGATTCGAATGTTTTGTGGTGGCGAGGGTGTTGCCGGGCCACCCACCCCCACGTGTGCCGTGCCGGCCTTCACAGGCGCTTCACGCTAACGGCACTTGCCCCAGCAGTCCGTGAAAAGGCTACACGGGGGAACTTTGTCTTGGTGAAGGGGAGCGGTGGTGGAGCGGTTAGCGCGCCGCGCTACGAACCCGGCTGCCCGAGTTACATTCGCGCCGCTCGCTGCCAACAGCAGTGATGATTATCTGGATCGGTTCTGAGCCTCCCCTAGGTCGACTCGGCCTCAAATGAGTACCTGGTTGCGGTGTCTAAGCATCGCCACTGGGGAGACAAAGGCGGCCGGGCGTGGTGCTGGCCGCCCACCCAACTCGTGTGCCACAGTGCCGGCGGCCTTCACAGGTGCCACTCGCTTACAGCACTTGCCCCTACAGTCTGTTACAGGCTACACGGGGGATCTTTGGTGATAAGGACGTGGTGGCGGTCGTTTTGGTGATAGGGGTGTGGTGATTGTGGTGTTGAATTTGGTGGTGACGGGGTTCACGGTGGTACGATCTTGGACATACGTGATGGTAGGCGATTGCTGTTGATTTTTTGTAACGGCTGTGGTGATTTGACACGTTTCTGGTATGGTCGTATTGATGATGGTTTGTGGTGTGAAAGGTGAACACTACCAACCACACCATCACTACAGCTCCCACCATAAACCCCTGCAATCACCTTCCCCGCCACATCCATCATCACCGCACACTTAACCGACCGTGCTAATCGGAGAGGACGTGGCGGTTCTATATACAACGACGCGGCTGGTGGCTACGTTCGGTGGGTAATAAGTTCAACATACAGTAGTAACACGCGTACATCGTAAGGGCTGGTGGTAGACATGGTGACACGAGTCGAGGTGTGAGAGATGGTGGCGGTATGGGACATGGTATTTTCGGATCGTGACGCTGGAGGATACCTTTGCCACCCCCCCCCCCTTCTCACCTCACCCGTCTTGTGGTCACGGGGTGCAGCTGAGAGCGGTGTCCCCGTGTCCCCGTTGGGGGAGCCGGGTCCCCCGACGCGCCTCAACTACACGCCGTCGGCTGCCAAGCACTTCTCGCCCGTCAAGCATTCCACGGCGCTCACCAACAAGCAGCGGGGAAACGAGGTGTCCAACACGCCGGGCCTGCTCGCCAGTGAGTGAATCGTCACCCAACGCAGCTCACTCGCTCTAAGCTGTGTAAGCGCCCTTTTTTGGAAGCGACCCCCCCCCCGCAAATGACAGCTCAACGAATTGGCTTGTCAGCGTGGAATATGTTTTTTCAGCCAAATACTCCAAACGTACGTTGAGCCTGAATGTGGAGGAGAAAAAAAGACGGAGGACCCGGAGAAAAATCCCTACGACCACGGGGAGAGAGACACCGCAAACTCCAAATGTACAGCAGCAGGCGTCAGGGTCGGGATCGAACCCGCGACCTCCTGCACACCAGGCGAGGGAGTTAACATCTCAGCACCGTGGTGCCCCCGCTTGCTCTCTCACCTGTCACCTTCATGCCCCATTCCCTTGACCCACAGAACTCTCGCTTCATCAGCTGGCTGCTCAGGGGGAGCTTCAGAATCTGACGATAAGACTGGATCAAGGTGAGGACACTGCCATCTCTTGTCACGTTTTCCTTTTCATAATAATCACCAAAATGTGCTATCGCTTTTCATGTGGTCTTATAAGACGCTGACGTTTCAAGCATTGGCCCTTATTTTCTGAAACATCAGCCAGCTATCTACATATATAAAAGAGAAATTTGTAAATGTGTGTCTGTTCAAAATGTTTAGCATACTTCCTAACATGCAACAAACTTCAAATTTGGTATGTGGGTAGCTTCCAGACTGTACACAATTCAAAAAGACTTTTGTATTTTTTTGTGGGGGGGCGCAATAATGGATTTATTTTGCCCGACCCTGGCCCCTGTATATTTGGAGTTTGCATGTCTCATTCCCCAAGGTCGTGTGGATTTTCTCCGGGTCCTCCGGTTTTCCTCTCCACATTTAGAATCAACATGCATTGAGAGTATTTTGTCTGCAGTAAACTTCCACACGATAAGCCACTTCCTTGAGCTATCATTTGTGGCCAGGTCACATCTGAAAAAGAGCTGTATAGCTCAGTGGGCCTTACCTGGTAAATACAAAAATATTTTATTTCACGCTGGCCACAGACGACTTGGAAGAGGTGGGAGTATCCGAGCGCCAACACATTACCCCACCGCATACCACCTGCTGTTCGACCGAGTTCTACAGCTGGGTGTGGGGATGGAGGCCAGGAAGTTTTAAGAAATTTGCCCGATGTTTCAACTGCCGCACTCCGGAAAATTTAACTTTGCAACCACACTGGATTGCCAGTCCAGTTTGATGGCCGTTATAGCACGGCGGAGTGTATTCTGTGCTTATAATGCGGTGTAAATTAATTAGGATAATCACGCTGATGGTTTTTCTCATCTAGTTTGCCCCTTTTTTTTCTGTCCATTCAACTTCCACGATTCCCTGTGTTGTCCCTCCCGCCGCCGTGATCTAACCCCTAACCCCTCCGCAGATGGCATGGTGGACGTGATGGACGAGCGAGGACTCACCCCACTCATGTGGGCGGCCGCGCACGGACAGATCGCCGTGGTGGAGCTCCTGCTCAAGAAGGTGGCTGCGATTGTGGGAACGCAGCAGCGATGGTCGCGTCGCTCCTTAACCCCAGCAACCTCGGGGCCGGGCGTGGTGCTGACCCACACCACTGGCTTGTGCACCGTGCCAGCCTTCATAGCTGCCTTCTAACAGCACTTGTCCCAGTAGTATGTAATGCTATTCTTTGGTTTGTGTGTGTGTCTCCAGGGTACGTCGCTATGAACCCGACGGGCCAGAGTACGATTCCCGCTTATGGCCAACACCAGAGTCGATTATCTAAATTAGTCCTGGGCCTCCCCTAGGTCGACTTAGCCTCAAATGAGTACCTTGTGTGGTGTATAAACACCGCCACTAGGGAGACAAGCGGCCAGGCGTGGTGCTGGCAACCCTCTCCCTCGTACGCCGTGCTGGCCTTCATAGGAGCTCGTTAATAGCACTTGCCCCAGTAGTCTGTAAGGCTATACTTTGGCTATACTTTGTGTGTGCAGGGTGCGTGTGCGTTTGCGGTGGCGCGCGAGCGGGAGAATGCGCTGTCCCTTGCCTGCACGAGTGGGCACGCGGACATCGCGCACATGCTGCTGCTGCGCGGTGCCGACGTGAACGTCTACGACTGGGTGAGCGCCGTCGCCCCCTCGCCAACTCGCTCGCCCGCCTGCACGGCGTACCGTCGCCCGCCACCCTGGCCTCGTCCCCCCACTTCCGCCGTTGTGCAATGTGGCTCCACTCGGTGTGTGCGCGTCTATGCAGGCACAAATGTTGTCAGCAGGAGGGCAGTAACGGGTGGTAATGGCTCGCACGAAGCGGTGGTGTGGTCAGAACCCTGTCCAGCGCTGATGTTCACACAACACACTTGGGACGTAATGAAGGCCGAGTTGACTTTAAATAAGTTGACCACACCATGGGCGCCAAGGTGTGCGAGATGTTAACTACCGAGCCTGGTATACAGGAGGTCGCGGGTTCGATTCCGGCCCTGACGCCTGTATATTTGGAGTTTGCGTGTTCTCCCCATGGCCGCGTAGATTTTTCTCCGGATCCTCCGGTTTTTGCCTCTATATTTAGAAACATACGTTTGGAGTATTTTGCGACGATACATTTCCGCATGATAATCCACTTCCCTGAGCTATCATTGGTCGCTTCTGAAAAAGAGATGTATAGGTCGGTGGACCTCGCCTGGTAAAATATATCATAGTTTACAATTTTTATAGACCTAGGGTAGGCTCTGAATACCACTTGCTTCTGGGCACACCGCTACCTCCTGCGTGCCGTTGCCAACCTGAATGGGTGTTCGCTTACGGCACGTGCTCCAAGCGGCATGATGTGTTTTCTCTGTGCTGACAGAACGGTGGGACACCCCTTCTGTACGCCGTGCACGGGAACCACGTGCGCTGTGTGGAGCTTCTACTGAGTAAGATTTGGACCCGTTCGTTTCATGCAACAACCTCATGGCACTCGTGTCGACATTGAAAGTGGCCAATACCTTGAGAACTTTTCAAGGTCTCCCGCCATACCCATTTACACTTCTCACTCAGGGTGGGACCCGTTCACTGCTGAATCTCAGAACGTACAAGCGGTTCAGCGTTAATTTATATTTAGAGGGGTGTAGCGCCGTTGATTTTAAAGACATTGTACTCACCGCAGAGAACTGTAGCGACACGTCCACACTCTACAATAGCTGGTGCCAAACTGTGCCAAACGCCTTCCCGCATGGCGTTATGGGAACCAACATACAGTGAGGGAAAAAAGTATTTGACCCCCTGCTGATTTTGTACGTTTGCTCACTGACAAAGAAATGATCAGTCTATAATTTTAATGGTCGGTTTATTTGAACAGTGAGAGACAGAATAACAACAAGAAAATCCAGAAAAACGCATGTCAAAAATGTTATAAATTGATTTACATTTTAATGAGGGAAATAAATATGTGACCCCCTCTCAATCAGAAAGATTTCTGGCTCCCAGGTGTCTTTTATACAGGTAACGAGCTGAGATTAGGAGCACACTCTTAAATGGAGTGCTCCTAATCTCGACTTGTTACCTGCATAAAAGGCACCTGTCCACAGAAGCAATCAATCAATCAGATTCCAAACGCTCCACCATGGCCAAGACCAAAGAGCTATCCAAGGATGTCAGGGAAAAGATTGTAGACCTACACAAGGCTGGAATGGGCTACAAGACCATTGCCAAGCAGCTTGGTGAGAAGGTGACAACAGTTGGTGCGATTATTCGCAAATGAAAGAAACACAAAAGAACTGTCAGTCTCCCTCAGCCTGGGGCTCCATGCAAGATCTCACTTCGTGGAGTTGCAATGATCATGAGAACGGTGAGGAATCAGCGCACGACTACACGGGAGAATCTTGTCAATGATCTCAAGGCAGCTGGGACCATAGTCACCAAGAAAACAATTGGTAACACACTACGCCGTGAATGACTGAAATCCTGCAGCGCCCGCAAGGTCCCCCTGCTCAAGAAAGCACATATACATGCCCGTCTGAAGTTTCCCAATGAACATCTGAATGATTCAGAGGACAACTGGGTGAAAGTGTTGTGGTCAGATGAGACCAGAATGGAGCTCTTTGGCATCAACTCAACTCGCCGTGTTTGGAGGAGGAGGAATGCTGCCTATGACCCCAAGAACACCATCCCCACCGTCAAACATGGAGGTGGAAACATGCTTTGGGGGTGTTTTTGTGCTAAGGGGACAGGACAACTTCACTGCATCAAAGGGACGATGGACGGGGCTATGTACCGTCAAGTCTTGGGTGAGAACCTCCTTCCCTCAGCCAGGGCATTGAAAATGGGTCGTGGATGGGTATTACAGCATGACAATGACCCAAAACACGGCCAAGGTAACAAAGGAGTGGCTCAAGAAGAAGCATATTAAGGTCCTGGAGTGGCCTAGACAGTCTCCAGACCTTAATCCCATAGATAATCTGTGGAGGGAGCTGAAGGTTCGAGTTGCCAAACGTCAGCCTCGAAACCTTAATGACTTGGAGAAGATCAACAAAGAGGAGTGGGACAAAATCCCTCCTGAGATGTGTGCAAACCTGGTGGCCAACTACAAGAAACGTCTGACCTCTGTGATTGCCAACAAGGGTTTTGCCACCAAGTACTAAGTCATGTTTTGCAGAGGGGTCAAATGCAAATCAATTTATAACATTTTTGACATGCGTTTTTCTGGATTTTGTTGTTGTTATTCTGTCTCTCACTGTTCAAATACACCTACCATTAAAATTATAGACTGATCATTTCTTTGTCAGTGGGCAAACATACAAAATCAGCAGGGGATCAAATACTTTTTTCCCTCACTGTATGCCACGCTGCTTGCCTTGCGTTGTATAACTCCTTGCATGCACGTGTGTCACAGACAGTGGAGCGGACGTGATGTCGGAGACGGAAGCGGGACTAAACGCACTGGAGCTCGCGGCTGCACTGGGCCACCGCACTGGTTTGTCTTGTCTTGCGGCTTCACGCTCAAAAATTTGAAAACTGTTAATTGTGTGTCTTTGCCATTGTATGTTTGTGCCTGTGTGACTGAGTATGTGTGGGGAGCGGTAGTGGAGGTGTTCTCGAGCTGCACTACGAACCCGGAGACCCGAGTTAGATTCCCGCTCATGGCCAACACCAGTGACGATTAGCTGAACCAGTCCTGGGTCTCCCTTAAGTCGACTCAACCTCAAATGAGTACCCGGTGTTGTGTGTAAACATTGCCACTGGGGAAACAAAGGCGACCGGGCGTGGTGTTGGCCACCCACCCCCTCGTGTACCGTGCCGGCCCTTCTTAGGTGCTCGCTAACAGCACTTGCCCCAACAGTCTGTTCAGACTGTATGAGGGATCTTTATCTTTTATGCGTGTGTGTCTTTGGGGAGCGACAGTGTAGCGGTCAGCGCGTTGCACTACGAACCCGGGAACCCAAGTTAATTTCTTGCTAACGGCCAACACCAGTGACGATTATCTAAACCAGTCCTGGGCCTCCCCTAAGTCGACTCAGCCTCAAATGAGTACCTCGTGCGCTGTGTAACCATCACCGCTGGGGAGACAAAGTCGGTCAGGCGCAGCGCTGGCCACCCATCCCCTTGTGTGCTGTGCTGGTCTTGATAGGTGCTGCGTGCTAAGAGCACTTGTCCCAACAGTCTGTTTAGGCTGTTCGTGTGATCTTTGTGTGTGTGCGGGCGGTAGCACAGCGGCTAGCGCATTCCCAAATCTTCTGTCTCTTAAATGGATGATTTATATATATGTATATTTTATTGATGCCTCGATTGTAATGCCCCTCTCTAGCCCAGACCGCCATTGAGAAATACCTGCTGCAGATGCTGCAAGACCCCTAGGATCGACACCTGCTGCACGAACAAATCGCCCCTGTCCCCCCGTCGTCGTCGCTCTCGCTCGTTGAACCGTCGAACGCCGGTGCCAGCGGTGTGAGGATCATCGACAGAGACAGCGCTGGCCGCTTTGCGTGCGATTTTATCGTTCACGGCCTACGTGAGCGTTTTGGTGCGGATGCGTAAACCTGGATGGGACCGGGTATGGGGTGGTGGACAGCTGTAATACGGCTCTTTTGGAGGCAGGGGTTGGTGGGTCAAGAAGATTTGTGAAACTCCCGACTCTGCGGAACCTAAGTGGTCAAGAGCTGGCAGCACAGCAAGTGGAATCCTGACTGCATGTCCGTTCTGATTGTGTGTCTTGAGTGTTATCGTTCCTGTATGCTAATTCCTAATGTGAAGAATAGTCCTCATATAGGATTTAGCCAAACATACCAATGTAGGCCTTTCCTAAAAGGCGATCCCCTCAGACTCTGCGGGTGTTTCCTCCAAAAATTAAGGATAGTTCTAACACTACCACCATCGTCAAAAGAAATCTCGTTTGAACACTTTGCTAAAACTAGTACCGTCACAAGCGCCTCTGTGCGTGATGCTACGAATCGGCCGGACGTCATCTGACCCAGAGGATCATAGCGGGCTCGTGCCGAAGGTGCCGCCGAAGGATCATCCTTCAGGTGCCTCCTACAAGTGTCGGGCTCCATAAGCCTGACGTTCTGGCTTCTCATGATGTTGGCTCTTGGTCGAGCGGCGCTCTCCTCGTTCGTGCTGCGGGTCGATACTCCCGCCCGTAAATTGGCTCAGCCACTTGTAAGCCGCTCTCCTTCAATGGGGGAGGAGTAGCAAAACTTCCATTAGCACGGTTGGCTACGTACGGTGCAAAAGAAGTTCAACACACAGACGAATGCTCTCCTGAGGCCCACGTTAGTGGCAAGCAGACCTCGACGATGGCTTTTTAGCTCCGGAACCACATTGCCTCCATACGCCTAGCGTAGAATAGAACCTGTGAGTGATGGCTGGGTGCTGCCAGGCCGTACTGAACATTCAGTTCTTGCATGCGCGTAGAGATTTGGAAAGCCAGATTATGTACGATGGGCATCTTGCGCGACCGGTGTGTATCGTCGTAGGGTTGCCATCCATATGGGTTTTTTTACCCATGCAGGTTTTACATGGACGGGTGGTAACCCGATAGTCTCCAACGGCAGGTTTGTGATGCGCTTCTAATTTTTTCTGTGAAGCGAGGGAAGGTAACGAATGCCCTGCCCCTCTCTCGTAGCACATCATGCACAGAAGACTGCATTATCAGCCGGAGGTTATATCTCTCAGTCGTGGCTGGTTGTTGCTCAGGCCTACAAAATTCCATCTTAATGTAAGAAACCAGTATAAATGTGTCGAAACCCTCCACCACCCGACAGCCAATTAGTAATGTAAACAAAACGCCAATTAGTTACTACTTCAGCCCACCTGTGTGTTGGAGAGTAAATCCACAAGATTTTCAATTTCAATACGACTTTTCGCTGGTAATTACATCCAGCATCATCGGGCAATTTGCCAGAATAATGAAGCAATCCACCTGCTTCCGGTCTTACATCGAGCAGCAGGACGACGTCTTCACCTGAACGCGATCTGACCCAAAAACCTTTATTACGAATTTACATTTGACTGTTGATGTGCATCACCGGCAATTGCAATTTCTTATTTGTAAATATGATTTTTAATAAAACAAAAACGTATAAACAGACTTTCCTCTTGTTGTGCTTTTATACTTGATCGCGTACAATCGATTGCGCAATTAGCGATACGATTTATCCAAATTATACTAAAACGCGTCACATTTTGGCCAGTGGCTCGGATAAAACTGCACAAAGACAACACGGTGACACGTGCCGAGTGTCAATGCATTGTCCCAGACAGTGGCACGTGCGTGCTACCGAATCGCGGTGACCAGGAGACAGGCTCGAACTGGCCGTCGGGCATCTGCCCCGTCGTGCCAGTGGCCATGGTCTGTGTGGGGAAATTGCAAATGTGATCAAAGTTGAAAAATAAATGCCTATTCTGTACGTTTCATTGCTTATTTACGCTCTCGGTTGGCATTAAGTCCTCTGTAATCGGTAGCCCCAAAGATGTTTCCTCAGTGGCCCATTAGTTGTTCGGACTCAGCACCTAAATGGGCCCATGAGTTCGCACGGCAATTTGTGTCCCGCTGTGTTAAATAAAAATGCCTGTGCCGATTTCTCGCCCCAGTCCGTCACTGACCACGAGGTAACGGAGTGGCACCACGAGACGTATAGCGCACCTCCAATTAGCGCGGTTGGCCATCATAGCTGTCAACCCTTTATCAGTGCCCTACCTTATTACAGACCAATGCAGACCTTATTGGTCACCCCGTGCCACTTATAAATCCCAACGTTCATCCTACGAAGTCTCATCACAAGGCAGAAACACAAACATATAAGACACTTTTTTTTGCCCGCATTGAAACGGCTGTACGCCGTATGGACCTGAACATTAAGACGAACATCCGTGGAAGGATGCAGGCAAAGCCGATGAGTCAGATGCCTTCTATGACCTCCTGTCACAGGTGCTGGCTAAAGTGGCCCCTCGGGATAGAGTCATCTTGTTGAGTGACTTCAATGCCCGAGTTGGTCATGATGCTGGCACCGGGTCTGGAGTGATTGGAGGGCATGGGCCAGATCAGCTCAATAACAACGGTAGGAGGCTGCTAGATTGTTGTGCAGCCCATGGGCTTGTAATTACCAACACGCTGTTCCGGCATCGGCACATCCACACAACATCATGGATGCATGCCAGGTCCAAGCAAGAACATCTGCTGGACTACATAGTGACCGACCAATGGATGCGAGCCCATGTCCTTGACACCAGGACCTACCGTGGAGCTGATCTGCCCTCTGACCATCGACTAGTCATCTGTAAGATGCGCCTGCAATTCTTCCACTCCGGTGGTGGATGTATACTGAGGACCCTATTCCAACCTAAAGTGGCCTGGTCTCAGTTATCTGATGAAAGTTGCAAGCGAGAATTTCATCATCGCTTGCGGCTGGGGTTGGCATCGTCTCCCACTCCTGATGTCGAGGGTAAATGGGCGAGGTTTAGGACTGTGACTCATGCAGCTGTAATGGCTGCTTTGGTTACGCGGTCCAGACCTCCCCAGAGACCCTGGCTGACAGAGGAGGTGTTCAGGATAGTTGAGAAAAAGCGACAGGCCCACTGTCATCGGCTACATAATCCCACGTCAGAGAATGAGGAGGCTTACCGCAGCCTTCGCTTGCAAGTTCGGAGAGCTGTGAGGCGCTGCAAGGATGGATGGTGGTCGCGGATTGCTGAGAAGATGGAGTCTGCCTCAGTGGCCCACGATCACAAATCTCTATTTAACTCCATCAAAAAAGTAACCTGCAGCGCCACACCTATTACCATCATTAGGGGAAAAAACGGTGATCCAATCTCCGACCCCCAGGAACAGGTTTGCAGATTTGCTGAGCATTTCTGTGAGGTCCTGGGGGAGGGGAAATCCCTCAACCAGGAAAACATCGTTGCACAAAGTGGGGATGACCCTGCTGAGGCTGCAGTGCCTCAAATATTGGAGGAAGTCACCCCCTGTGAGTGGTTGGCTGAGGTGCCATCTGTTGAGGAAGTACTGAAGGCGATCCGGAGTCTGAGACCAGGAAAGGCACCGGACAGAGATGATCTCCCAAGCGAAATTCTGAGGGAGGGTGGCGTTTGTGCACAGACTGCCCTATATGACATCATAACAACAGTCTGGACCATTGGACGGGTTTCGCAGGATTGGAAGGATGCCCTGGTGGTCCCCCTCTTTAAGAAGGGGGACCGCACAGACTGTAACAACTACAGGGGCATCTCACTCCTCAGTGTACCGGGAAAGGTCCTGGCAAGGATTATTCAACATCGCCTTGCCAGGCACGCTGAGGAGAGGCTTGCGGAGCCCCAATGCGGTTTCAGGAAAGGGCGATCCTGCACAGATGCCATATTTTATGTCCGTCTGCTACAGCAGATGTGTAGATAATTCCAGCAAGACCTACATCTCTGCTTTATTGACCTGGTCAAAGCCTATTATACCATCAGTAGGCCTGGGCTCTGGGCTGTTCTTCGTGCTTTTGGAGTCCCTGACCCTCTGCTCACGATCATTAAGGACCTTCATGATGGTGAGCGGGTCCGGGTAAAACTACGTGGCCGGGAGTCAGAGCCATTCCTTGTACACCTTGGGGTGCGACAGGGATGTCCTCTGGCTCCCACATTATTTAACATCTATTTTGACCACGTAGTTCGTGAAGCCTTCAATAGCTGTACCGGGGGAATCTCCATTGGTATAAATATAATGGGAGGCTGATTGATGCCCGGGTGCGGTCAAGGGATGGCTCCCTGTTGCTCAACCACGTTATGTATGCCGATGATTTGGTAATAGCTGCTCATTCAGAGGAGGAGTTGGAGACAGTGCTGCTGAGACTGGAGCGTGCCACTAAGAGATTGGGCCTTACCATCAGCCCCACCAAAACTAAGCACCTGCCTGGGTATTTTGTACTCCACCCCCACAACTCCCAGTCGGTGATGGGGCAGTTGTGGAGAGAGTGGAGAGTTTCCCATACCTGGGCAGTGTGCTTATGACCGGCTCCAGTTTAACAGCAGAGGTCTCACTCCGAATCAGTCGAGCGGCAATATCTTTTCATCGGTTGCGTAACGTTGTGTGGAAGCTACCTGGTCTGTCGCTCCGCACTAAGCCTCAGGTCTTCTCGGCCACGGTCATTCCCTCCCTTCTCTACGCTTGCGAAACGTGGACCCCCCTAATGGAACATCTTCGCTGGTTAGAAACATTTAGGCTAGCCTGCCTACGATCCATCCTGGGTTTAACCAGGCTGGATTGTGTGAGGAGCTCACAAATCCTTGAAAGATCTGGGCAAGGTCCCATCGGTGAGCTCCTCCGGCAGGCAAGGCTGCATTGGCTGGGTCATGTAGCCCGCATGCCCAGCCACCACATGCCGAAACAGCTTTTGTTCGGCCGGATCGAGGGGGCTAAACGGGCGCGGCACGTTGCTAGACAAGAGATGGAGTGATGTGGTACAGGAGGACGTGGAGCTGAGTGGACTTGCCTATGACTGGTACCAGCGGTGTCAAGATCGGCTTCTGTGGAGGAGGCTCGTGAAGGACGCTACTGGGCAGTTGGAGGCAGTCGCCCTCCAACAACAACGGAGGGCGGAAGAGCGATGCTCACAACAACGAGCGGAGCGCCGGGTGGCTAAAGCGCAGCAGGTTGGCACAGTAGGGGGCACAGGTGGTGCACCAGCCAGCCATCTCAGTCATCTTAGTCAGTCGACCCGTGGCACCTGGGGCTGCCCCGTGACCTCCTGCCAGCGGGCGTTCGACACTTCACGTGGCCTCAAGGTGCACATGGCCTGGCACAAGCGTCGTGGTGACGTCACCGCCACTTAGTGGCGAATGGCGGTTGTTGTTGTTGTTGTTGTTTTTGTTCTCGAGACCGGGAGATCGATGTTCGCTCACTTAACAACACAGCGGGGCCGCGTGAGGACTGCCATCTTCCACGCCAGTTGCGTTATCATTCAATCTAAAAAAGCAGCAAATGCATGGCCATAATCGTGGCAGACTGCGTGGTGCAGTACCACGATTACGCCGCGAGACGGCGTAACGTTAAACCACTGGGCCGCTGCACACGATTTTAATGCCATTATCGCGACCGCGTTGCTCGTCAGCCCACGCGGTTTAGCCGTTGGTGGGGGCCAAGGTTCGTCCAACGTTTCGGACCGCATTGCCCAAACTTTGCAGGTTTATTTGGGAACACGCCACCACCACCACCACGCAATACGAGGAAGGACTCACGCCCAGCGCTCGCATCTCGGTCCGTGGGTTTGCATTGCGTGGTCAGAGTTGCCGCTGCAAGTGGCTCGACTCTTGAAGGCGTGTGACGTATGTTGAACTTCTTTCGCGCCGTACATAGCCCATAGCTGTCAACCCATAGGGTTGACCCCGTGTTCTTGTATGTGGGGATTTTTTTGAGTTGTCAGATCCATACGGCGTGCAGCCGTTTCAACACAGGCAGAAAAAAAAAACGTGTTGTCTATTTGTTTGTGTGTTCATCCCTTGTGATGGGACTTTGTACGATGAACGTTGATATTTATAAGGGGCACGGGGTGACTAATCGGCTCTGAATTGATCTCTAATAAGGTAGGACACTGACAAGGGATTGACGGGTATGGGAATGATGGGCGCAGCAATGCGTTCACAGGAGCGACAATGGCTCATGCCGGGGTCTGCTCACCACAACGAGAGGTCGACTGCTCCCCCGTGCTCCCTCCCTCCGTCGAAGGAGCGCATAGTTTGACTCGACTTGGCAACAATCGCACGCCCGTGGCCTGTCTTTAATTTTTCCATTTGGGGCCGTTCATAAATGACGTCACGCGATTTTGGACGATTTTTGACCCCGCCCCCTCCCCCCTAGTCACACGGCGTCACAAAAAGTCAGACCCCCCCTCAAATATGACGTCACAAAGCTTTGCCCCCCCCCAAAAAAATATATAAAACATGCTTCAAATCGCTTTAAACAATTGTCATTGTAGTGCGTATTTAATGTGGCGCTGCACTCTGATGTTGTAGGAGAAAACATTTATTAAAAAGTATATTTAATTAAGTATAACGTGTTGTCTATATTTATTTAAAGTTGCGCATTTCGATGTGACGTCACATTTTTTAAAC